AGCAAATCTTTAAAGTTATGTAAATTTTCTTGTTTAGTTCATAGTTATGAGATTGTTGACTGTGGTGGTGTCTTTAGGTAGGGTGGGCACTCTGCTCTCACATTCCTGAAAAATAAAATCTGTACTTAGATAATAAATCAGATCCGTTATCAAGTAAACTGCCTGATCTAATGTGACAGGAAAAACGGTTTATCATTAAGCCCTACCAATGGGCTTAAGAATGTGATGATAAAATAAAATCTATTTTGGAAAACTATTTGTGATGCCGTCTCTACATAAAAGACTGTGATGTAATTAAGTATCTCCTGAGTCAAGTGATGGCTAAGAAGAGTAATATGCACTCTCTAATGTCGTAAACCTAACGCTGGATAGAATGGAGATGTTTGTCTGTTGGACAGGTGTAAAAGACACACACGGCGCTGCATTTCATGTCAATAATATTTTTTTTGTAAATACATGAAACATTATTTAAATTTTTGTACATGTTTATGATGTGTGAGGAGAGACACATTCTCAGCATAAAATATATAAGTATATTTTCCAAAGAGTTTTTTTAATGTCCCCAGTCCCCTTCACTCCTTTTGTCTCATGCAGTCAAATGAATCCTCTCAACAGAGAATGAACTGTTTGAATTAACACATTGATCCGCCTTGAGTGTTGATTATAAAAGTAGATGTTCAGTAAAGGTTTAAATCGCAGTGTATCACAAAAACTGCAATACTTCTAGCAACCACAACAATAAGTCAAAAAGTGCACTTTTTCTCTTAATAAACCTATATCCACAGATTCACTCATGAGAATCAAAATTTGAGCCAAATAGCTAGGGTTCAGTTATGGGAAGCTCACCTCGCACTTCTATTTACTGGCGAATTGCATAGTAAATTGCATACCCATTGGGCATATTATTATTCATTAATGATTACCTGACTGGCCTATGTGCCAAGAAAAGAAAGATAACTGAGGTCAAAAACAATAAAAGCAGGGGGAAGGGGGCTTCAGTGACACTTTTCTTTTCCACCATGGGTCCCTTCAAATTCCTTCCGGCCACTCCATGCCACTTCACTTCCCAACCACACCCCGGCTTGAGGAACACAATAAGTATATTTGGCACTCTAAGCCATGTAGATCCAAAGCCAAATATATGAAAGTCTTGGCACTGTGTACTCCCCACAAAAATAGTTCAGAAACCGAGGTACAAAAACACGCTACACTCTACCCCTTACAGAACTGGACTGTTGCACAGAGAGGCAACCGGGACGACCCAAGACTGCTTCGATAAGCTTAGAGTGAAAGACTTTAGTTCGTAACTCGCTGGCAGTTCTTTCTTGTACAGAGATGGGAGGGAGGTTATGTTTCCCCGGTACTCACCCATGACTTGCACACGGCATATGGCGCAAGTGTCGCACTCCACGTCCCAGCTCCACATCGCGACAGCATTCCACTTCTTGAGAGTGAACATCTTCTCGGGTTTAGGCGTTTCGTTGTCGACGCGGTCGGAGGAATTGTCTTCATCGGCCATGATCACTACTTGCACTCCAAACTGACACTTCAGAGATTCAAAACAAACATAAGTCCACAGCAGACGAAAGACAAGTGACTGTGCACGCGATGCAGGTTTACCAACTCCAGCGTCAAGCTTGTGTGACAGGAGGTAGTACTAGACTGCAGGGAAGAGTGGAGGGAATTATAGAGAAAAGAAGACAATTTTGTATTGAGTTATTCGTTCTTAATCAGCAAGAGGAATGAGATCCTATATATTCCTTGTTTTAATGTAGCGCTAAGAGAGAAAGGACGCGTTTTAACTGGCCATAAATCGTGTTACGTGCATGGTATATGCGACTAACTTCCGTGGCTTCTGCTAGACTGGACTTCTGCATTGATGAAAACAAACATGGCGGACCTCAATATGCAAGATGTTGATTTATACGAATTATTAGGTATAGCCTCTACTTCGACAGTTTCAGAGGTAATATTTGATTTCTGGTCTGTAATGTTTATTAATTTTTCCGTTTGATAATTTTTAACCGTTATAATAATTTTCTCGGCCTAAGTGATGAAACAGCATAACCAAAAAAGTTAAGGTGCATGAGCATTTCTCTGAAACATAGGGTTTAATTATTCTCTCTCGGATGTATTATACTCATTTGCTCACTCTCCAATGCGACTGACCCCATTCATTTTAAGACATTCATCATATACAAGCTAAACATTGAAAAAAAGGCATTTAAATACCTCATTGCCACCGAGCCAATTACTGCCAGAACATGAGCTCCATAATAACTTTTTACCTTTTCAAATAATTTCCCATTTGTTCACGCTCAATTGTATTAATTTTGGGTGTTTTAGGTGAAAAAAGCATACAGGAAAAAGGCATTGACATGCCATCCTGACAAAAACCCTGACAATCCTCGTGCCGCAGAGCTGTTTCACCAGTTGTCGAAAGCCCTAGAAATCCTCATTGATGAGCAGGCAAGGGTAAGTATGAAAATGTTTTATTGTTTCTTGATGTAAATTTAATTCTTTCGCTCCCTCACAAATGTCTCTTTGTTTTCTGCTTCTAGGCTGCTTACGATAAAGTTCTGAATGGGAAAAAAGCTGCTAAGTTACGACATAGAGAGTTGGATGAAAAAAGAAAAAAATTAAAAGAAGATCTTGAGGCAAGAGAGCGGTCAGCTACAGATGTTAATGGAACTAGTACAAAAAAGCAAGACACAAAAACAGATGAAGAAAAATTACAAGTAAGTGTCTGACTAAATGTGAAGTCATTGATCTATGAATGAAGGTAATTGCTATTGTTACTGTGTTTTTCATTTCCAGGCAGAAATTGAAAGACTCAGAAAAGAAGGTTCTCGTCAAGTTGAGGAAGAAGTTGAACTAGTCAGACAGCAATTACTGCAAGATTCTAAGATACCGGAAACCCCTGAAGAGCCTCAAAGCAATGGCTTAAACCGTTTGCGCATCCGATGGAAAGCCAATAAGGATGATCCAAATAATGGTGGATATCCATATGATACCCTGCTAAAAATAATGTCTAAGGTATTTCCCATAATTCTTGCTATGTGTTCTCAAGAAGGATAATGGTAAATATTTGTATTTGAAGCCCTTCTTTTTTTGTTTTGTCCTAGTATGGTGATATTGTAGCCTTAGTTGTTTCTCCAAAGAAAAATGGAAGTGCATTAGTGGAATTTAAAACAAAAGATGCAACTGTAAGTGTATCCCATTGTCATGCCATTAATTTTGTTTGTTCTTTTTTCATTTTGATGAACTTTTGTTTTGTCCTTTTTTATTGTTTTCCTTAGGATACAGCATTTACCTTGGAAAAGGGTTTCCTTTCTAACCCATTGACCATGGAGAGACTAGGGGAAGGCTCTAAGACAAACCCTCAAGAACCAGAGGCTGTTCAAACTCCAAAATATGTTGACTTGACCAAAACAGATGATACCAGGAATGCTGCTCCAGCTTCAAATTTGTTCCCAAACTACACTCAGTCTTCAACCCATGTGCCTGTCACCATGTCAAACTTTGCATCTGCCCCAGACTTCTCTCAATTGGTAAGACCAACTAAACCATTCAGCTACTTTAAATCTCACTGTTTCTTGATTCATATCCTTCCTGATTTTTTTCTCAATTTAATGGTGTGATAGTAATTCAGTGTAGGTTAGTTTTGTACTTTAAAAATTTTGACAATTATTATTGAAAGATGACAGTCATGTGTGGTTTTTCTGTGCCAGTTCTTCTAGTCTCTCTCTCAAGTCTGGCTCACCATCAGTAAATCATGAATAACGGGTAAAGCCCTTTCTTTGTAATGCTTCTTCACAGATTACGTGTGTGATACTTTAAAAGTCATGTCAGAGATCAGACTGGATTTTATTAATTTCTCTTTGAGATGTTTTTTTCTTTCTTTTTTTTTCCCAATATTATTCCATTTGTGGGAAGGGATTTAAAGCAACCCCATGCAATTTTCTATCCTATTTCTTTCACAAGCATGATGTGAGATAGTACACTCTCATCTCAGAACCCCTTATTTGTTGCTGTCTTGATTGTAATGTATCGCGAGATCAGCAGTAGTTGAGGCTCCACCTTTCTTGACACAGGACTGAGCTGCGCTGACCCAGTGCTTATCTCTCACCTGCGCTGCACAAACAGTTTTCAGGTTGCAGTTTTTGTTTAACTTTGGGTTTTACTTGGCTGGCTTTGCATTTGTATTTATCAGAGTGATAAGTTTGTCTAAAGGGTCATGCCTTGAGACCGTAGCAAACAGAAGAATCTTTTTTTCTCCCCCTTAATTTTGCATAATTTTCAGTCTTTTGCAAAGTGGCCTAAGAGCTGAAAAGTATTTTTGTATTATATTTATTATAGCACTGTTGTATTTTAATGACCTCGACCTCTATGCATGGCCCTCAACCTTTTTAAGTGCGATTATCTGCTTCTCCTGGTACTTTGCTTGATTAGTGGGATTGGTTTTAACATTCCAAGCTAATAAAACACAAGGAAGTGCGTGCTGGATCTGCAGGGCAGGACTGGGCTGACCAGGGCGAGTGGAGATCCATCATAGCAGTATTGCAGCTTAAACTGTTTCCTGTGTGTAGTGACATCAGTGTGCGATCATCTTCCATGTACTGTTGTGTGTGCCTGTAGGTGTACATGTGTGCTCAGTAATGTCTGCGTAAAATGATGGTTGTGGGTTTCATAGATTTTGCCATTCCCTTCTCTCTGTCAGCATGTGAAAGAAAAAACATTTACCACTTATCCATTGATTCACCTTTTTCTGTTAAATTGCACGCTCAACTTGCTAGCAACATTTTTATTTCCCTCCCAGCTGGGTGTTTGTTTCCTGTCTTCCAGATCATTTGATCAACTGTTCTCTTACTGTCATGGTAAAGCACTTAGATGATTAAAATTTTACATTGTTTAAGATAGGACTCTAGAGGAATTAAGATTAACAATAATAAGAAATGATGAGTTATTTTTTGATACCAAGATTTTGATGCACCAGCTAATGATGCACAACGATTTTTAAAACTCTCATCAGTAACATACTGTACAACATCTACAGTAACTAAATCCTTTTGAAAAAGAGGAACACACAACACCGAAAAATGCAGTTCATGCACTCTTATCTTCTGTGAGTAATTTTTGACATGTAGTAGTCTTGCTCATTGGGGATGAGTGTTTGAAATGACAAATTGCTTAAGGCAATTGGTTTACACATCACCATACACCGAATGGCTTGGGCCTTGGCTTACGCCAATACCTGTCTTGACTTACTAATAATTATTTCTGCTGAATTGGTTTTACAATCTCATTTGTGGAAGTGGTATTGTGCAGGCAGGTTTCCAGGAAGACAATATTTCAAATCTGTAGTTGACAAGCCTTCCTCTGCTTTGCGCACGTATTGGCAAAAGGATTAGGGAAGGATTTCTAGTGTGCTGCTGTTCTCTTGTTGTTTGCCTGCTGAACAGAGCCTCTGTACTCTAAAGAAGGAAGCACTGAATAGTGAGTCAGTCACATGGAAAGCTTTATAGCAAAGGCATCATTTGTGCATATGTTTTGTTTTACATTTTATTAATGCAAACTGTGAGCAATACTCTTAGGAACTAAGTCCTGTGTGCTTTTCACAATAAACTGGCTGCTGTGACATAAATGTTAAGCCATCACGGTGTTTTACCTCTTAAAGTGTCCAGTGAAGAAATTAAAAGGTAAGTCCCGGCTGAACAACAGGAACAGAAACTGAACAAAACTACTTGACAGGCTTGCATGCTCTGAATTTCAATTAACAAAGAACTGTCCCATCTTTCCAAGTAACTGTCAGTTTTGGTTTGAAATAAATTCCTATCTACATTTACATTACATTTAAGAATATGTCCTCTGCAATTAATTCTATACCAAAAATAAAAAAAACAGGAAGACCAATTTTATTCCAGGACTGTTATTTTATTTGCTTGCTATAATGTACGTCATTACAGTAAAAATACACAATGAGTAGTTCTGAGAAAATGTATTTCCTCCTGGGATCCTCAATTATTATCTATATTCTGATAGTCTTTTAGGACATTTTGCTTTATCATTTAGGGATGGTGGCTGATGACTCACACTTCATAAGGAGTATATGTCATGGGAATCTCATTTTGTAGTTTTGGGTGGGTGCTGGCATTTTGGTTAAGGGTTCACCAATATATATTTTTTATTTAATTGATGAATGCAAAACCATCTTGTTATTATTTGTCATTGATGAAAGTATTGTCTGATGACTACAATTTCAACATTTTAGCATGCTGAATCAAAAGCCCTGCATGCAATAAGTTGTGGTAGGAAGTTTAGGTAGTGTGGTCCAAGCTTTTTGTGTAAAGCTTCCTCTGCATGTTCAAGGTGTAATGAAAGAAGCACTTGTAGTGATTTCCCCTCCCAATATTTTTCAGTTCGATCTTGAGGCAAATTTACATTATGTTCGGTCAAAGTCAAACCCACTAATAAATTTACATTGATTATAAATTAAAACTTTGAAAAACTGTCAAGTGTGTTCAGTTTACAAATTGCTGGCCATTGGAACAAGTGTTCAGGGGCACCTGTGGGTAAAGTAAATTCCAACCCCCCATCCCCCAGCAAAAATAAAAAGCGAAAGAAAGAGAGAAAGTTTAAGCGTTTTTTTTCTCTTTTAATATATAGTCATCTATCAGTTATCATCAAAACTATTTGAGGGAGCGGCCGTTCCAGGTTCTTTTATTATTTGTTACAGGGAGGAGCCTCTACCATCTCAGATCTTGACTTTGAAAGCGTTGTTTTACGGAAGATGAAGCAAGCACAGGAGCGGAAGAAATTAATTGAACACATGGAAGCTGAAGAACAGTAACACTTCCTCTAGTTAGTCAACAAAAGTATTTTAATTTGAGTACATATTATCTTCTATTTTTTAAGTTAAAGACTGCATTTATGTTTATTTTAGGATACTATATTTCAGTAATAAATAATTTCATCTAGCATCATCATCATTATCTATCTATTCCACTTCTCTTTTTCCTGTTGTGCAACAGTCCTCACTTTCATGCCTGACAGATAGAAGGGATTGTGCTCGGTGTGGTACCTCTTTAGAGATGTTTAAATTGGTTGCACCACAACATTACACTTTCATAACCATCTAATTTTTTTCCCACCACGTGCACGTTAGAGGGTGCGTTGCAGGACTGTACCGGAGGCGGGTTGCTGCGTGCTGGCCGGTTCCGCTCAGCCTCTCTAGAGGAGGCGTGCATTTATCTGCATTACTGATCCTTGCCGTTCCGTACGTCCCTTTGCAGCTGTATGCGAACTACCTGGGGCAGCACCTGCGCTACCAGCACTCTGTGTCCCCCGGACCCGCCCACGCCTACCAGCCGGGACCCCAGCAGGTCCTGCTGCCCGGCGCGCTGTCCGGGGCTGGGGCCATGATGTTACCCGGTGTGTCGCCCATGACGCCCATGACCTCGGTCATGGGCTACGGACAGGGCTACGCTCAGGGCTACGGCCAGGGCTACGGACACGTCTCCCAGTATCCCGTGCAGGTCCCCGTGCAGTCCATGCACGGCTACGGCAGCCCGATGCTGGGTCTCCAGGGCTACGCCAGCTATCCCGGCTGGGCTCAGGCGCTTGCCCAGGCCCAAGGGGTCGCCGGGGGGGTGCCACAAGGGGTGGGCACCCACGGGGTGGCCGCTGCTGCATCCCGCGGCTCATCGTACGCGGCCGCCGGCTTGCCGGTGCTCCGGGGCCAGATGCCAGGCCTTCCCGGCGCCTTCCCAGCCATGGCCACCGCCGCCCCCGTCTTCTTCCACCAGCTCATGTCTGGTCTCCCTTCCGTCATACCGAGATAGTAGAGTAGTTTCACGTTTCTTAATATTTCCCTTACTTTTACTCATCCTGTTTTGTAACTCTCCCTGTTTTGCCTGTTGTTTTATTTTGACGATTTTCACATTTGATTCATTGGTTTTGTTTTTCTAAATTATTTTGATGCAGTGTTCTCTTTCTATGAATATGCTGTTCTGTTTAGTGTTTTGTAAAAACTAGTCATCTGTCTTGTAATGTCACTTGTCTAATTTTGAAGCGAGTTGGAGCTATGGGTCGAAACTGACAGATTTTGTAGACCAACTTACTCCCAACTTTCTCTGAAATTTCAACCCTGAAATAATTCTTCATTTAAAATTTCAGCACAATTTCCGTGCAGTTGTACGAATATAACATTGGACATGGCCTCTTAGCAGGAATAAGGAATACAAAGTATTCCTTGTTTTTCTTTTGTTTATTTAACTTAAGCCCCCTGATCTTGTTGTTAATGAGACTTGTTGCTCTTCAGGGGCTGAAAACTCTTATATCATTTATCATCCTCAGTATTGTAATGAAAGGTCTGGGGGGATTTGCTTCTGAAAAAATTACCAGTTCATCAGTTGAATTTGTATTCCAACAGTTTTCCTCCCATTCACATTGTTTTTGTTGTATAAACAATTTCCTTATAATCAGAGACAAGGCACACCTTGATAAAGATATATGTGATCTCAAGGGGCTTCAGGTGTCTTGCGGTAAGCATACTGTGACATTTGGCAGCACCACAAGTGTTCTTATGAATATAGATTGATCCTGGACCTTAAAATTATTACTGTTTGTCTTTAAGGGACAAAATGTTCTTTTATGAATAAA